ATATCAGACACTAGAAACAATTTCAACCCCAACCAACTACTTAAAAAAAAAATAAAATCCTGCTATGTCCATTCATTGGAGAGGTGCTAATCATTAAAACCAGTGATTCTTTTTTAGGGTCTGTATTATATTAATTGTTTCAAAACACATTGTATTTTGGTCGTTTTTACTTAAAAAAGAAAGAAACATCTTTAAGAACTGAAATCTTACCTTCAACAGGAATCTCTACACTCCCCCAGTACATATCCTGTCTCATGTTAGTAAGTCACATCTTATCTTGTATTGCAATGAGGTGTCCAGGTCTCCTCTCCATTAAACACTGGAACAGCTCCAGTGGAGAGCTATCTATCAAGCAAAGCTCCACTTTGCAGGGACAAACTGTGGGGTACCTCTGGATAGAACAAAACAGCAGTTGAGGTCGCAACAACAGAGGTTTCTTCCCAGAAATTGTGGGAATTCTAACAATCTACATATGTGCATGAGCTGGGAGCTTTGCAAAATGGATAAGCTAGAGTGACAGACGTATTTCTCAGGAAAAGTCAGTAAGTTCTTATCAGAGGACATGTTCATTGCTCAGGAAAATTTCAGAGTGACCTCTGAGTGTGCCAGGACAAGCTCCCTCTAGGATATGGCCTGAAAGGAACAAGACCCTGACATTCTCTGGTAGATAAAAGTGCAGATTTTGAGCTTTAGAACGAAGAGGAGGCTGTACCATGAATGACGGTAACCCAATGTGGTACTGAGAGAGAGAACAAAATTCTAGGCAGAACATGATGGGGAGACATAAATGGCCACTCAAAAGCAGAAGGTCTCTGGGACGCAAGAGGCAATGGATGCCTGTGTCTCAATTCTAAGCTGTTTGCTCTGATGTAAACCCTCTGGACCGTCACACATGACCACCTATTTATAGGTGTGTCTGGAAGAGGTAGTTTGGAATGGAGATAATGGGGTAGAAGTATCTTCCCCTTCCATACATCTCAATGACACTATTTCCAGAAACTTCAACATAAGGGCTGCATTTATTCTCCTACCCGAATCAACCAAAAACAAAAAAAGGGCAAAATATATTACAAAAGTTAAACCAGACGGAAATATATGAATGATAGTGATGCAACAGAGAACTGTAAATACAAGGTGCAGGGTGGGGACGAGAATGTTAGGATAGACAGACAGAAAGGACCAAAACATGGAGAGAAGGAGAAACAGTAAAGCCAGAGATAATGAGATGCAGTGAATAAAACCTCCAGGAATCCACAAAAGATATGAGGACTGGGGTGGAACTGCCCTTTTCACGGGATGAAGGATGGAGACCTCAAATTCTGGGGCTGATACCTCAGTGCTCTCCTTAACCACCTCCTTCTCTCACTCCATGGCCAATTAGTCAGCAAGTCTTGCCACTTACAAGTTCAAGACACACTCAGAATCTAACCATTTCTCACCCCTTCGCTGCTGCCAACCAGGACTGAGCTCCTATCATTTTTCACTTGGACACCAGCAAGAATCTCCTCACCTTCCAGATTCCATGCTCCCATGTCCCTATGTCACTCCTATTTTTAGTATATGTGCTGCCGAAGTGAGCAGTCCCTATGTCACTCCTAATTACTCTCCACACCAGAGTCAGTCAGAGAATCCTTAACCATTTAGAGAAAGAGAGGATTGTTACTGGCTTATGGTCTGTCTTCCTTCCTCAAAGGTAAGCCCTATGAAGGAAAATTCTTCTATTTCTGTTCATTGCCATATTCACAGAGACCAGGCAGGGCTACACTTTTTAAAAAAATTTTTAAATTTCTTTTCAGTGTAACAGTATTCATTGTTTTTGCACCACACCCAGTGCTCCATGCAATCCGTGCCCTTTCTAATACCCACCACCTTGGTCCCCCAACCTCCCACCCCCCGCCCCTTCAAAACCCTCAGGTTGTTTTTCAGAGTCCATAGTCTCTCATGGTTCTCCTCCCCTTCCAATTTCCCTCAACTCCATTCTTCTCTCCATCTCCTCTTGTCCTCCATGCTATTTGTTATGCACTACAAATAAGTGAAACCATATGATAATTGACTCTCTCTGCTTGACTTATTTCATTACCCTTTGTGCAGTTAGAACCAAATAAATATTAGTTAATGAATTACACAAACAGGTATGTAACTGTACACTAGACTTCTGGGTAAAGAATAAAGGATCTTCATTTTGTCTTCATTTGTGGGTCTTCAGAATGGTCGGGGTCTGGAAATCATGTCTCTCTCTTTTTTTTTTTTTTTTTTTTTTTTTTTTTGGTCCTCATCACTGAGACTGCAATGGCCTCTCCATAACGTTCACTGCATGAACAAGTGAAAAGAATGTCCAATAGGTTGACTATCTTACTTGGTGCCTAGAACTGGCCTGGGAAGAATATGGATGATGTTCTGTCCCCACGCACAAGAGCAGGTACATGTAAAGAGTAGAGTTCATAAGCAACGGCCAGTCTGTAGGAAAACCACTCTTCAACATGGGCTGAATGAATTCTGCACCAGCGACACACAAGGTATAGGTGACGAAGATAGCTCTTGTCTTTGAGGACTAAGAAAATTGTAGGCATCTCTCCTTCTACTACCTTGTGAACCAGTGCAAGTACCATGATGGTATATGTATTCTGAGGGAGATGCTCACAGGGAACATTGGGAGCCATGAAGAAGTAAGTGATCATCTTACCTGAGGAGGTCACGTGGTCAAGGAAGGACTAGGCCTTATGAGAACGATTTTAACTGAGCTGAACCATGTCTCAGGACGATGTCTAGCAGATTAGATAAAGCATATTGAGGGAAGAAGGCACAGGCTGTGTGAAGGCCCAGCACATAGTTGCTTTCCCGAGAGGATACTGGGAGGAAGTTAACGAAATTGGGACGGACAGGAAACCCATATAGCACATGCTCCTCTATGGACAGAACCTGTGCTTTCCAACACTCATGGAGACTCCTCCTCTCAAACTACTCATTTCCCCCTAAAACGGTGACCAATAAAGGGGCTTAACAGAGTTGAAAACATTGGGAGACAAAATCAGAGAAGGGAATCAACTATCTGGCTCCCACTCCAGTTTATGGGAGGACTGATGCATGTGTGTAGTGCACGGTGTTCCCTGTGATTGTCACCACTTACAAGGAAGAACGTGGCTTCACAGCAGCTCTGTCCCAAAGCATGACATGGCTGCCGGGAGGCTCCATGTGCGGCAACACAGTCTTCTTCCTGGTTGTGCAGATCCTGAGGCATTCCCATTGGAGTTCTGCTCCTCTGTTCTAAATGCACTTTGTACAAAGAAACGGACAGAAACTCAAATAGAGATCATATTTTCAGGAAAGCATAATGGTTCTTATTTTCTGATTAAAATAGAAAACCAGGAGGGTGGCAGAGTAGTAATAAATTTGCACTGTTTTGACAGGGACTACATTCTAGTCACAGTTAATACCCACAGTCAAGGTCCACAATGGCTCAAGGTACGTTAAGTACCTGGAGTCAGTAGGAGACACACATGTGTTGAGCCTCCTACTGAGCCTCAGTAATGCAGGAAAACAATTATCAAAAAAAGGAGATTCCACACATGTCAGGTACACTCTGTGGGGGTGTAGGCAGGTGTGGCTGCAGAAATGGGTCCTCTCCATGCACTGGTGACAAGGAAAGAAGGCTCCTGGTTTGAAGTAAAGAGCAGCTGCTGTTCCCAGGTGGTGACTGCAGCTCACAACTGAGGTTAGCAGTGGAACTGAGTAGAGAATGTGGGAATTATGGACATAGTCAGAGGTTGGCCACTTGACATGACATCCACAGCCTGGTGTCTGAGTGTCGGATTTGTTTGTGCACAGGATTCTTCTGCAGCAGAACAGCTCCTCCCATGCTGTGCTTCCTCCTGGTGCCTCGCATCTTCCATGGACAGGTCTTTCTGAGCTTCTAACTCAACCTTCTCTGGTCCACATCTTTCTGTCTTTAGTTCTCTTCTCCACAGCCAGCAGAATTGGTTCCTGAACAACAAGGGAGCTCTTCTCTTTTTTAGAACAAAGAACAAGAGGGTGTGTGATGAGGCTTGAGGCAAGTGGCTTCTTTCTCCTCTTCAGATCTTCCTCCAGTGGCTGCTTCCAACTGCTGCCTTCAGAGCTGTCAGTCATTAAAACCAGTGATTCCTGATACAGACAGCAACACGACTGTATCCACAAGGATCGATTCTGGGGCAAAGAAGCCCTACAGAGGAAGTACATAGAGTACAATGTCCCATTTATGAACTCTACAGAATTAAAGCTAGTATAAAGTGACCTGAGAAAGAACAATAGCTATGTAGGGACAGGGTAAACAAGGGAAAGAGAAGAAGAAATTCCAGGGGGATATGCTGGAAATTTTAGGGAGAATTGATGCACTCACTGTCAATAATGTTGATTGTGACACCTGTGTTTATCATATCACACACTCTGTATGTGGGTCATTGATCTTATGTCAAATATACACATTGAACTTATTATAGGTAATAACAAAGGTGATTCTGGAGGGACGCAGAGAGAGTGAATGTTAAAGACATGAAAATACACCTACAAAATGCTGATTTTCTCTGCATTTATGGTAAAGTATACAATAAGCAAAATCAATCCATCCCCATTACAGGATGGGTTCCACATTCCTCATAGCCTGACACTCTGTCCTGCAGATAATTCAGGGTGGGGGGCAGCAGCTCCTGTGGGGGAAACACTGACCTAGATCCTGGGGTCATTCTCACCCCATATATGTTCATGGATACCTTACGAACCCAAGTATACCCACTGGAAGATTATATAATAAAAAACGTTTTTTTTTTCCAAAATTGGTCATTAACACTAAGTTAAAGGCATTTGCAACTGCTTAGGTCACTGCCTCTCTGTCAGAATAGATAAACAAGCTGAATATATAGCCAGAGGACATGCAAATAGGTCCTTACCTCTGCTGATTTAACTAGCACAGCCAAGACCCTGCAGCTGGGAGAGGAGCCCCAGGCTCGGGATACCCAGATGTTCCAGTCAGTACTCAGGACAGGACACAGACAACTCACTATGGAGTTTGTGCTTGGCTGGGTTTTCCTTGTTGCTCTTTTAAAATGTAATTCATGGTGAACAAGAGACGTTGAGGATGTGAGTGCATATGAGTGAAAGAAACCATGGATGTGTGACAGTTTCCTGACCAGGATGTCTTGTGTCTGCAGGTGTCCAGTGTGAGGTACAGCTGGTGGAGTCTAGGGGAGACCTGGTGAAGCCTGGAGGGTCCCTGAGACTCTCCTGTGCAGCCTCTGGATTCACCTTCAGTAGCTATGCCATGCACTGGGTCCGCCAGGCTTCAGGGAAGGGGCTGCAGTGGGTCGCAAGTATTAGCTATGATGGAAGTAGCACATACTATGCAAACTCTGTGAAGGGCCAATTCACCATCTCCAGAGACAATGGCAAGAACACTCTGTATTTGCAGATGAACAGCCTGAGTGCCGAGGACACAGCCTTGTATTATTGTGAGAAGGACACAGTGAGGGCTGCTCAGTGTGAGCCCATACACAAACCTCACTGTGGGGGGGGCGGTATCTCGACCACCACGGGGTGCACACTACTCACCAGTTCTGTCTTTAAGCCCAGGAGCAGATGCCAATGGTAGTTATGGGCAGATTTCCTGTCAGGATCTAGCGATTCTTCTCCAGAGAACACTTTCCCTCAGGGCCCTCTCTGTACACATGATTCTGTGCTTACCTCTTCACTCTCTGACTTTCAAAATTTGTTCTAATGGGAAAAAAATATACTAAAATGCACAGAATCACTCACATTGTTTATTCCTGTCCTTAAATACCGATGAATCACAAATATCCTGATGCTCATCAACTGAGCTTTAAAAGGAATCCCAGAGGCATTCAGTATGCATCACAGGTCCCCCCAGCTCAATGTACAAACTTCATAGAAGGAGCATAAAATGCACGCTAGACAGGAGGCCACAGAGGCATCAACAATCCAAAGTAAAAGAAGAAAGGGTCTTTGGGGTGGGGGGAGTGTCACTGTCTTAAACAAAGCTCAGAGCATCAATGTTACTGACAATATTGGAAAGCAGTGGGACCCCCACAAGGTGTGGTGTGGATGTGGAGCCTGAACATTACACACACACACACACACACACACACACACACACACACACTCATGCAAGAGTACAAAACCTTCATCACTTTCCCCTAATTATTCTGCAACAAAGGTGGTTCTAAGATAGAAATACACAGCACACAAGAAGACCACAAGAAGCAAGAAAAATCTAAAAGACACCACCTAACATTACACCTGAAGGAGCTAGAGAAAGTAAAATGACTGAAGCCTAAATACAGCAGAAGGAAGAAAGTACTAAAGACTAGAGCAGAAATAAATGATATAAAAACCAAAAAACAACAGAATAGATTAAAAACAACAACAACAACAACAACAACAACAACAACAGCCAACGTCTGGTTCTTTGGAAAAAAATAAAATGAAATTGAGAAACCTTTGCCTAGATTTATCAAAAAGAAAAGAGAAAGCCTCAAGTAAATAAAATCAGAAATCAAAATGTTTCTCTGGGTAACAAACAGGGTTTTGGAGGGGTGGGGGTCAGGGGATGAGGTAACATGGGGATGGACGATAAGGAGGGCACATGCTGGGAGGAGCAGTGGGAGTTACACACAAATAACGAATGGTTGAACACTACATCAAAAATGAATGATATATATAGGGTGGATAGCTGAACATAATTTAAAAAGGAATTTAAGCAGATATGTTGTGAGAATAAATAAATAAATAAAGCTAGAATTCTAGGAGGAACATTCCCTAATCCAAATCCTGAAATTATACTTAAAATTTTGTTTTAAACTATGAGTGGCTGGGGGGAGGGTGGTAACTGGCTGAGGGACATTAAGGAGGACACTTGATGGAATGAGTACTAGATGTTACATCCAACTGATGAATCAATAAGTTCTAACTCTGAAACCAGTAATGCACTGTGTGTTAACTGAACTGAATTTAAATTAAAAAAATTTAAAGCATAAAATAAGAAATCAGTCTAATCTAGTGTCTCATTCAAAGTCCTTGTTTTGAAAATGCCAGTGGAATGTTGATCAGGATGGCACAGAAAGTATAGATTGCTCTGAGCAGTATAGATATTTTAACAATGTTTATTCTTCCAATCCATGAGCCTGGAATGTTTTTCATCATTCTGTGCTGGAACAAACAATCCTAAAATTTGTATGGAACCAGAAAACCCCTGAATTGCTCAGGAAATATTGAAAAAGAAAAACAAAGCCATGGGCATCACGTTGCCTGATTTCAAGCTTTACTACAAAGCTTTTGTCACAAAGGCAGCATGGTACTGGCACAAACACAGACACACATACCAGTGGAACAGAGCAGAGAGCCCAGATACGGATGGGCAACTCAATGGTCAAATAATTTTCAACAAAGCAGTAAAAAATAACCACTGGAAAAAAGACAGTCTCTTCAATAAATGGTGCTGGGAAAATTGGACTGCTATGTGTAGAAAAATAAAACTCGACCATTCTCCTACACCACACAGAAAGATAAACTCGAAATGGATAAAAGACCTCAACATAAGGCAGGAATCTACCAAAATTCTAGAGGAGAACATAGGCAGTAAGCTCTTTGACATCAGCTACAGAAACTTCTTTGAAGACATGTCGCCAGGGGTGCCTGGGTGGCTCAGTGGGTTGAGGTCTCTGCCTTTGGTTCAGGTCATGGTCCCCAGGTATTCAGATCGAGCCCCTCATCAGGCTCTCTGCTCAGTGGGGAGCCTGCTTCCTCCTCTCTTTCTCTCTGCCTGCTTGTGATCTCTGTCTCAAATAAATAAAAACAAAATCTTTAAAAAAAAAAAGACATGTCTCCAAAAGCAAAGGAAAAAATAAGCAAAAATGAAGTTTTGGGACTTCATCAAAATCAAAAGCTTCTGCACAGCAAAGGAAACAGTCAACAAAACAAAGAAGCAACCCAGAGAACATGAGAAGATATTCACAAATTATGGTACAGACAAAGTGCTGATATCTAAGATCTGTAAAGAACTCCTTAAACTCAAAACACACAAACAGATAATCATGTCAGATAATGGGCAGAAGACATGAACAGACACTTCTTCAATGAAGACATACAAATGGCTATCAGACACATGAGAAAATGTTCATCATCACTAGCCATCAGGGAGATTCAAACCAAAACCACACTGAGATACCACCTTACACCAGTTACAATGGCCAAAATTAAGAAACAGTAAACAACATGTGTTGGAGAGGATGTGGAGAAACGGGAACCCTCTTCCACTGTTGGTGGGAATGCAAGTTGGTGCAGCCACTTTGGAAAACAGTGTGGAGATTCTTTAAGAAATTGAAAGTAGAGCTTCCTTATGACCCTGAGTTGCACTACTGGGTATTTACCCCAAAGATACAGATGTAGTGAAAAGATGGACCATCTGTACCCCAATGTTTAGAGCACCAATGGCCACAGTCAACAAACTGTGGAAAGAACCAAGATGACCTTCAACAGATGAATGAATGTGGTTCATATACACTATGGAGTATTATGCCTCCATCAGAAAGGATGAATACCCAACTATTGTATCAACATGGGCAGGACTGGAGGAGATTATGCTAAGTGAAGTAAGCCAAGCAGAGAGACCCAATTATCACATGGTTTCCCTTAGTAGAGTGTAAGGAATTACATGGAAAACATCAGGAGGTAGAGAGGAGAAGTGAGTTGGGGGAAATTGGAGGGGGAGACAAACCATGAGAGTCTGTGGACTCTGAGAAACAAACTGAGGGTTTTGGAGGGGAGGAGGTGAGAGGGTGGCTGAGCTTGGTAGTGGGTATTAAGGAGGGCATGTACTGCATGGAGCACTGGGTGTGGTGCATAAACAATGAATTCTGGAACACCGAAATTTAAAAATTAAATAAAATTTGTTTTAAAATTACATGATTAAAAAAAAAGTCTCTTATGGTTTGCCTCCCTCCTGATCCCATAACACCAAGAATATCATTGAACAGAAATTTATGGAGACAATCTATAGAAACAAAGGCTTCACAGATAACATGATGTCAATAAAAACGTATCTCTCAATAATCACTCTAATGTGAATGACCTAAATGCACCCATAAAATGGCACAGGGTTGCAGATTGGAAAAAACGACAGGACCCATCCATATGTTGTTGAACTTTTGGGACTTCAAGATCAAAAGCTTCTCTGCAGCAGAGTTCTTTATAGATCTTCTATACCAACCCTTTATCTGTAATGTCATTTCAAATATCTTTTCCCATTCCCTGGGTTTACTCTTAGTTTTGTTGACTATGAATACCAAGGAAATGCAGACAATTGTTAGAACATACTATGAATCACTATATGCCAATAAATTAGGCAGTCTGGAAGAAATGGATGCATTCTTGGAAACTAATAAACTACCAATACTGAAACAGGAAGAAGTAGAATATATGAACAGACACTCAGCCAGGAGGACACTGAAGCAGCAACCAAAAACAAGAGTCCAGGGCCAGATGACTTCCAGGGGAATTCTGCCAAACACTCAAGGAAGAAATCATACCCATCCTACGGAAACTATTTCAAAAAATGGAAGGAAAATTCTGAACTCCTTCTGTGATGCCAGCATTACATTGATCTCAAAACCAGACAATGGCCCCAACAAAAAGAATTACAGACCAATGGATGCCGAACATGAATGACAAAATACTCACAAAAGTACTAACCAAAAGGATACAACAGTACATTCATTTTTTAATTCACCATTTATTTCTTGGGTGTTTTTTTGGGGGAGTCACTACTTTTTTTTTTAACACGTTAATTTTATTTTATTTTTTTCAGTGTTCCAAGATTCATTGTTTATGCACCACACCCAGTGCCCCATCCAATAGTATATTAAAAGGATTATTCACCAGGACCAGGTGGGGTTTATTTCTGGTATGTAAGGGTAGCTCAGTCTTTGCAAATCAATCAATGTAAGATAACCCTTTAACCAAAGAAAAGAGAAGAACCTTTTAACCCTCTCAATTCAATAGGGAAAGCATTTGACAAAATACAGCATCTTTTCCTGATTAAAATTCTTCAAAGTATAGGGATAGAAAGAACATACCTCAACAGAATAAAAACCATCTACAAAAAGCTACAGGAAATATCATTCTTAATGTAGAAAAACTGAGAGCTTTTCCATTAAGGTGAGGAACAGAACAGGGATGCCCACTTTTACCACTATTGTTCATCATAGTACTAGAAGTCCTAGCCACAGCAATCAGACAACAAAAAGAAATAAAAGGAATTCAAGTTGGCATACAAGAAGTCAAATTCTCTCTCATTGCAGATGACATGATACTTTCTGTGGAAAACCAAAAAGACTCCACCCCAACATTGCTAAATTTTATACAGAAGTTGACCAACGTGGCAGGATGTTTAATCAATGCACAGAGATCAGTGGTAATTCTATACACTAAAAATGTTATTTAAGAAAGAGG